CAGCAATGAGCCATTATTAGGATGCAAATCAGCAAGGAACTGCTTCCAATATTCATTCAATATCCAACACACAGCTCCAGTCAAACAATTCAGCACAAAACATTGAGTAAGCAGCTTTCAGCCGGATCTTCTCACACAGCAAAAAGGACATTTCCACTGCTGATAATCAGAATGCTGAAGAATGGTGTGGATATTATGGGATTCAATTTGTATAAAAGCTGCTCCTTCACTCACCATCTCCTCACTTGGTTTTTAGTCCCTGTAGTAAATGAACCAGCTCTGGAAGAGGAGGAGGGCAGAATGGGCAGAATGAGTGGGCTCTCTGATTGATGTCTCTCACGGTCAATCCAAATATTTCTGCAGCAACATACGTTTTCTGAAGCTTGGGAAACTGACCGGTAAAATGGAGGTGACTTTGAGCAACAGATTAGGTGGAGATTTAAACTTGTCAGTGTCCCATCTGAATAAAACCTCACTTATTGCAGCTGCTGTCTCAGTTCCCCAGGCAGATGTTTCTCAGAGATTTCTAGTATTGGAATAGCATTCTTCATCCATGGGGACTTTCAAACTGACAACAGTCTGCCTCGGCTCATCTACTGCTGAAACCCTTATCCCTAAATTTGTAGGCTGTAGACTCAACTACTGCAATGCTCTCCTCAATGCTCTCATATTTTGCACTGTAAACCTGAGATCGTCCAAAACTCTACCATCCATGTCCTAGTTTACATCAAGACCCATTCACCAATCACGCCTGTGCTCGCTGATCTACATTTACTCAAACAACACGTCAATTTTCTCATTCTTGTTTTCAGATCTTTCGGTGGCTTTATTTGTCCCTATCTCTGCTATCTGCATAGCAATTTGACTGCTGGGCATGGAAATACATTTATTTGAAATGACTTTTGATGACTAAAGATTTCCCTGGGAGGCCTTAGCCTTTCCCAAAGACTTGGCTTGGATTTGACAGTTTTGCCCAGAGCTGTGACTGAAAGCTGAATTTGGGATGTGCAGTCTGAGTGAGCGCAGTGTATCTAATTTCCCAGGATAAACCAGAACCCTTCAATCAGCTACACTGAAGCAATATTTTCCCTAGCTTCTGGCACTTCTTGCCCATTATTTCTTCCACCAATTTTGGAAAGCAAGGGAAGAAATTTCAAAATTGCCATTCAATTAATATTTCTCCTAATGTTTTTGAATTTGAACGCATATTCTAACAACAAAACTGGTCTTCACCAGCACAATTCAAGCTCATAGTGAATTGATGGCACAGTTTACATGGCATCTGACTATTGATATTCTAAGGCATGTCAATATTAAGAAGTAGAAGGTGCTGGGTGTTTTGAAAAACATTAAGGTAGATAATTCCCCATGGCCTGATGGGATCTATCTCAGGATACTGAAGGAGGTCAGGGAAGATATTGCTGAGGTCTTTACAGAGATCTTTTGTTTCCCGTTTAGCTACAGGTGAGATCCCAGAAGACTGAACAATACCCAATGTTATTCCTTTGTTCAAGAAGGGCAACAGGGATAATCCAGGAAATTATAAACTTACGAGCATTACATTACTGATACAGATATTGTTGGAGAAGATTCTTAGTCAGGAGAAAAATCGACATGGAACAGCTCAGCATGGCTTTATGCAGGGGAGGTCTTGTCTCACAAACTTGATTGAGGTTTTTAAGGAAGTGATCAAAATGATTGATGAGCCTAAGGCAGCGGATGTTGTCTGCATGGACTTTAGCAAGGCCTTTGACAAGGTCACTCATTGTAGGCTGATCAAGAAGATCAAAGAGCATGGACTCCATGGTGAGTTGGCAAGTTGTTTACAAAATTAGCTTAGCTTTGGAAATAAATAGCGTTATAATTGTTACAGAGCCGTTTGATAATTAAAACTGAAACACCCACAGAAGCTTGCCTCACCTTGTAATCTGCTAAAGGAAATGTGAAAAGTGGTATAATCTGCCTGTCATCTCCCTAGAAAAGCACATCATCTTTTAAAGGGACTATGTACTCTTCCCTCCTATCATTTTACAAACAAATTCTAACATCCTGCCTTCCAATCCCCAAGTACTCTACCCAACTTTGCAGCACAATAGAGGTCTATGACTAGTGGTGCTCCGCAAGGATCAGCGCTGGGATCTCTGTTGTTTGTAACATATCAGACTGATTTGGCTGAAAATGTTGGTAGTCTGATTAGTAGGTTTTCAGATCACTAAATGGTGGAGTTGTTGATCGTCAGGAAGGATATTAAAAGATGCAGCAGTATACAGATTAGCTGGAAAGTTGGGGATAGAAATGGCAGATGGAGTTTAATCTGAACGAGTGTGAGATGATGCATTTTGGGAGGTCGCATGCAAGAGGAAAGTATACTGTGTAAATGGTTGGAACCTTCGGACCAGTGATATGCAGAGGGATCTTGGGATCCAAGCCCATAGCTCCCTGAAAGTGGCAACACAAATGGATAAGAGATAAAGAAGGCATATGGCATGTTTGCTTTCTTTGGTCGAGGCATTGAATGTAAAAGTTGGCAAATCATGTTGCAACTGTATAAGATTTTAGTCAGGCCACATTTGGAGTGTTGTGTGTAGTTCTGGTCGCCACATGATAAGAAACACGTGGAGGGTTTGGAAAGGGTGCAGAAGTTTTTCAGGATATTGCCTGTATTAGCTATAAGGAGACAATGGACAAATGTGGATTATTTTTGCAAGAGTATCCAGAGCGTTAGCACAAACTGAATAATGCTGTACACAGATTGAGAAATAAACCCCAGATTAATCTTTGCTTGTGAGAATTTCAACAGCACATTGAAAGAGATAAAATGACAGTGGGCATCTAACCACAATACAATGCAAAATATCTTTCTTAAACCTCTTCTATCGACAGCACTGCAGTTACTGAGGATGGGACTGAATTTGCAGAGATAGTGCAGCAGTTGCCATGACAACAACATTACCAGCGATGTCACCTCAAGACATGGCAGAAACAAAAGGAACAGCGAATAAAACATGCATATTCTATGTATTCCTGAACATTTTAAAGATTATCTGCTGTGAAGAAACAGACAAAATTGGAAACCTCTGGAAGAATAAATAGTTTTGTTCGTGTGTGATAATCCAGACTATGTATGTTGAGTAATTTACAATGGACAGTGCGTACAAATATTCTACTTATAAACACGGAAATGAATTTTTGGATAAAGACCTTTATATGCTGTGATTACAACTTTAATGTGACCCCTGATGTCATCATATGCAAATACAGGTTTGAGGCAAAACATCACATGGAACACCGTTTGTAATACAAATTGCTCCAAAAATTTCTGAAGCAACGAGTTTCCTGAAGCTTGGGAAATTGACCGATGAAATGGAAGTGACTTTGAGCAGCAGATCAGGTGGGGATTTAAACTTGTCATTGTGTCATCTGAATAAAACCTCAGTTATTGCAGCTAAGATAACAAGGTGTAGAGCTGGATGAACACAGCAGGCCAAGCAGCATCAGAGGAGCAGGAAAGCTGATGTTTCGGGTCTGGACCCTTCTTCAGAAATTGCAGCTGCTGTCTCAGTTCCCCTGGTAAATGTTTGACAAAGAGTTCTGGTGAGAGAATAATATTCTTCATCCTCGGAAGCTTCCAAACTGACAACATCAGTGTGGGATGTGTAGCCTCAGATGTGTTTGACAGCAGATGAGAAGAGGAAGACCCACAGCATCCAAGGCAATGATGACTTGCAGTGGTGGGATCGGCACATGCACAGGGGGAAAGGACCCTGGAGGGGGGAACAAGGAAGAATGTGGGAGAGGAGACTGACTTGCAGTCCAAGCAATGATTTTGGGTTTCATTTTTCGAGTTGTGGAGTGATTCAGGGAGCCTCCAAAAGAGTGATTCTACACATCTTGTGAGACGTCCCGACTGGCCCATCATTCTCCACCTGATCCAACAACCCTGACTAATCCCATACTCAGCTGACCCATGTCCTTGTCCAGGATCTAGGAAGTAACAGCATGTTGAAGGAATTTAGACAAAACAGGAGGCTGGAAATGGGGCAGTAGTTTAGAAAGACAGAAGACAAAGCATTTGTTCCTTTTTTTAGGAGAGGCTGATAACAGTTGATTAAAAGGAATGAGGAGCAATACCTGAAGAGACAGAACCTTGAACAGTATCGCTAACATGGAGTCTAGGAGGGGAGGTTTTGTGTTCAGTACGTTGGTGAGAATATGGTTATGGGAACAGGAGGTTGGTCTAATGGACAAGATGAGCTCAGACAGGGCATGAGGGGAGGTAGGGGAGAAATTAGAGAATGATGAGAGTTCAGGCTGAGGGCTGTGGGGAGAATTAATGGACATTTGTCCAGGTGGATGAGTGGAAGAGACATAAATGGCAGAGGCAACTTATGGGATTCTTTCAATCTCATTTCCCTGAGCAGAGAGGTCAATAACCGGGGAGCAGAGATTTAAAGTGTTGACGGAAGGATTATAGGGGAATTGAGGATTAATTTGTTTCACCCAGAGAGCTTCCATACAGTGGACGGTTGTTCTGGAGTGTAGGATTTAGCATGTTTGGCTCTCTTGCTTGTTGCACACAGTCTATAGGTTCCTCACTCTGGAATCTACCCACTTTTCTCCATCAGTTTCACATCTCCTGATATGAGGGACTTTACCATCTTTCACAGCTTCAGGAAACCAGGCACAAAGGCAACACTGATATCTGTAATTCTAACTAGTTACAACTTTAAATCAATCAAACACTCAGGCTGCCTGTTTACTGGGGGGAAAAGCATTCCGTACACTGCCTTAGAATTTAATCCCTCAGAAATTGCATGTAATACATCAGAAACATTAATCCACGACTGGCAACAACATAGTTAGCACTCTCATCTTAGTCAGAAGGTTTTGGATTCAAGTCTTACTCCAGAAACTTGAGAACTGAGGCTGACAATCCAATGCAGTACTGAGGGAATGCTGTACTGTCAGAGGTAGCATCTTTTAGATGGGCTATACCATACCCCTACCTTCTTTCTTAGCTAAATTTGAAAGGTAAATCTAGGGGAATGCAGTGGACGTATTGCTAATGGAATTTCTCAAACACTCTTATATGCAGCTGATACATAGAGGACCTGCTGCGTGATAACAACTGGTCTATCTGATTTTGTTCAATTATGAAGCCTTCATTGTTTGTTAGAAGTTTGTTTGTGGGATTTAAGCATCACTGGCAAAGTCAACATTTGTTGCTCATCCCTATTTGTCCTTGAGAAGATGGTGGTGAGTCACCCTCTTGACTCTCAGCAGTACAAACTTCTGCAGTGAAACTCTCGCTAGCTGTCATTTGTACAAGGCTGAACTAACACAGTTGATCCGGTTCAGAATCCCCTAGAAAATGTTATCTTTTAGCAGATGTGGCTGTCAAGGTCTGCGAAGTGAAAAAACATGTTCCAGAGTTTCTACGTTAACAAATGTAGGAAGGGAAATAGTCAGCTGATTATGGTGTGGATTGATAGGAGTTTGGTTTTGGCAGAATTCAAGGGCAGTGCCAGTTGCCTCCATGGAGAATTGAAGAGTAGACCAGACTAGACCACTAAATCCATGTTACAATCTGGCTAGGGATCAGTAACTTTTGTTTGAAAGTGGTCAAAATGGAGGTGCAGGGCACTTAACAACTGACTGAAGACACAAGATTCTATAGATTTGAATAAACAACAATCAACTTTACTTCACAACATCAGAGCAGTAGTACAAACAATACACGTACAGCTTACATTCGAACGTGTGCAGCTAACATTGTAAATATTGATAATTAACTGTGATCGAACACCCCACAGCACACATCACACAGCAAGTAAGACCAAATATGATCCCAGAGATTTCACAGTAATCTATGCCTTCCCACACAGGGTGTTCATGACAAGGTGGGTCATCAACTCTCATTAATTTTCTAAAGGAATCATAATTCGTCACTTTTTCTGTCTTTGATGTTCACTCACAAGAACTATTCAATCATGTACTGCTTCAATGACTGCTCCAGTTCTGTTTGATCACGATTTCTTCCTGCATCTACGTTCCCTTGGACTTCAAAACTGCACTCCTATATGCACAGGCTTAACGTCAGCTTTACACTGATAGCTAACTTCACCAAGCTAGGTTTTTCCTAAGCTCTAATCTTACCTGGTTACAACATGCAAGTACTGCTTGTGAGTTCTTCAAAGGCTCACATTCTCAGCTGGACTGAATTTTTAACAGCTCAGATTCTTCTGGGCCATCATAGTTCCCAGGTCACAAACAGGGCCCTGACTCAACATTTAGGTTGTTTTCCAATTCTCAGAACCTCTTCCTGTGTTCTAACAACATTGAACTTATCTGACCTTCTGGACTCTACACAGAACCTTTGTAATTCAGCAGTCTTCCTAGTAGTACAGCTAACAGCAGTACCACCTAACACAGAGTCTGCTTCTGTTTGTCTTGTATACTCACTGACTGTAACTCTGGATCTGTTCTTCACTGAACCCCGAACTGGCTTGTGATCAATTGAAAACTTTGTAAGAAGCCACAATCTTAATGCTGTGCAGAATTGAATGCAGTCAGCTTACAACTCCTGGCACTAAGTACGTTCTGAATATTACAATTCAAAGATTGCTGGCTTCTCCTGTACAAATGGATCCAACAGAAAATTGGATTTCATCACAAAGGATTGACAGTGATTGGTAAATTTGTTGCAGAGTGGACTGCAAAACTGCAGTCATCTGAAAACTGTAGATCACACGTATCTGTGATGGTCAGTTTAGTTTTGGCATACAGGGGATTGAGGTAAGTGGGTTTCACATTGAGATGCTAGTTAAAACTGATCAGAGGGCAGTTGATCTTTGAGGTGCATGGTCACTGTCAGATTGATTGTAAATAGAATGGGGGCTATCACACAACCTTGCTTGACATCAGTCTGAATTTTGAAGGTTTCTGTTTCAGATCTCCCACTCGAGACAATTACAGTCATATCACCACGAAACAACTGCAGGATTGTGATGACGTTTCTTGGACATCCAAATTAATGGCGCATGATCCACAAAACCCCTTGATTTGCTGGTCACATACTTTGGTCACAACAAAATATATAATGCAGAATTTCTGATGTTGTTCTCAATATCCTTCTTGGATTTGGCTGGCAACAAAGATCATGTCAGAGGTTCCTCTGAAAGATCTAAATCCAAGTCAATGTTCTAAGTGACGTCTCTATCATACAATCCATGTGGATGACTGATGATGCTGGACAAATCATCGACTCGTTCAATCAGTGATGACCGTCCACACAGCACTAGGGCATCACAAGGCTCAAAGTCCAAGATGAAGATGATTAATGTCTCAGCTTGAAAACATCCCAAATGAAGATTGAAATTCTAGCCAATCTGAAAATACTTCACACACGCAACTCAATTCTCAAATAGTGGGATCAATATAAAGTAAACCGTACTGAACCCCATGACCAGATCATTGGGTTCGAGCATTGTGGTCACCAGGACTGGCTCACTGAACATGATGCTCAAATATGTGACTTTCAAAAACAATCAGCTTTCATTGTGGTAGAATAACCCAAGGCAGTATTTCAACAGCCTGCAGCTACCATCCAATGACAGATTCAGAAGATAAAGGACAAATTTGAACAGTAAGCCCATGAGATCCAACAATATGCAGATCATGATCATATAAAAGTTTTAAAAGTCACCAGGGCCGTATACAGGCCAAGGTCAAATGCACAAAATCCCCCTTGTTCACAGGGGGGAAATGCTAGACAGCATTTTGAACAATTTCTCAACCATGAATTCACAGGGCCACTGATATTCCCCAGTGTCCTGTGGTAGAATCCTTGGGTGAGTCACCATCAATATGAGAGCAGCAACAAGCAATTAAAAAGACAAGAAACAACAAAGCCTGTGGCCCCAATGGTCTAAAAGCTCGGGCCTTCAAGCTGGAAGGCTTTTGCAAAATTGAAGACTTACCATGCAGATTTGGGAAGAAAACACCTTTGCCTGATTTCCTGACCTCAGGAATGTGATAATCATAAATACTTTCAAGAAGGAAGATAAATCATGCTGCATAAACTATTGAGGTATTTGCCTCTTGTCCATGGCAGAGAAAATCCTAACACAACCTGCAGGGGAAGAGTCTCTCCTGTCTCAAATGTTTGTTAGTGCAGGAAGTTCCTTTATCTGGTGAAGGCTTTGTCTCACACAAACCAGTTTCTCCCGTGTGTCAATGTATTGCTGTGCGCAAAGGGCCATTAAATCCAAGAATGATTTGTCACTCATGTTGATGGTTTCTCCTCTGTGTAAATGTGCTGGTCTATCAGGAGATTGAAGGAGTAAATGCAAACCTTCTCACAAACCGAACAGCTGAAATGGGTTCTCCCATGAATTCTCCAGTAAAGCAGAAGGTTGTGAAATGTCACGAAAGCTTTGCTGAAACATCACACTCCAAGACTTTCTCTCCAGTGTGGATCTTCTGATGGATGACCAGGTTTGATAAGCGTGTGAAAGCTTTGTTACAAACCTCACACTGGAAGCGTTTCTCCCCTGTGTGAATCCTCTGGTGCCTCTGGAACGTGGAGGATTGGGTGAAGGCCTTTGCACAAACCTCACACCTGAATGGTTTCTCGCCTGTGTGAATCCTCTGGTGTCTCCTGAGTTTTGATAACTCAGAGAATGATTTATCACACACCTCACAGGTGAATGGTTTCTCCCCTGTGTGAATTCGTCGGTGGGTGCGGAGAGTCGATGAGTCTGAGAATGATTTGTCACACACTTCACATGTGTAAGGTTTCTCCCCTGTGTGAATGTATTGGTGTTCAAGAAGGTGCGTTGGCCGTGAGAATGATTTGTTACACAATCCACATGTGTACGGTTTCTCTCCTGTGTGACTGCGTTGGTGGTCAAGGAGGGTTGATGACCGCGAAAATGACTGATTGCACACGGCACACGTGAATGGTTTCTCACCAGTGTGAATGCGTTGGTGTACACGAAGGTGTGAAGACTGAGAGAATGATTTGTCGCACACCTCGCAGATAAATGGTTTCTCTCCTGTGTGACTGCGTTGGTGTGTGTGGAGATTCGGCAACTGTGAGAATGATTTGTCACATATTGTGCACGTGAATGGTTTCTCCCCTGTGTGAGTACGTTGGTGCAGGCGAAGAGCTGATGACTTGGAGAAGGATTTGTCACACACCTCACACGTGAACGGCTTCTCTCCTGTGTGAATGGGTTGATGCATCAGCAGGCTCCATGATTTAGAAAAGGATTTGTTGCACACCTCACACTTGAAAGGCTTCTCTCCTGTGTGAATGCGTCGGTGATTCACCAGTGTTGATGAGTGTGCAAAGGATCGGTCACAGACCTCACACTTGAAGGATTTCTCCCCAGTGTGAACTCTCTGGTGTATTTGAAGGGTATATAATTTCACAAATGTTTTATCACAAATTTCACACTTGAATGGTTTCTCTTCCATGTGCCAGTCGTGTTGACAGATTTTTAACAAATGCACTAAATGTGTTAGGAGAATGTAAATATCCACAGGGCCCTCCTCACACCCGCTAAAATGAGTCAGTGGATCATGAGGCTTTCACCACACTTGGAGTCCACTGACTCTTCTGCCCAGCCTCACTCTGACTGATCACCCACAGCCAAACCTTCGGAAAGGTTGCCTCTGATGGAAGCCTCCACACCACTGACCAGTTTCAAATCTGATGATATGTCAAAGCTCCCCAGACCCGACGGATTTCCAGATGATGGCTTCACTGCCCAACCACCTCTGTGTTGAGCAATGCTGTGAAGGGACTGGATGTCTTCCCACAGCTGTGCAGTTGTTCCTTGGGTGATGGCCAAGATGTATCTGCGGTGTCTATCTTCTCTGTATTTTCTGGTGTGGTACGGTGCAATCCTTCTGTAAAACAGGAAAAGGAAACATGATTTCCTCCAACTCCCTCGTCTCCTTTGCTGAAAGAGCTGACTCCTCAGTTCCAGACTGTTCCAAAGTGAGTATCAGCCTGCTATTCCCCTGTGTGGGTATTCAGATACAAGTCCTTTCTTTTTCCTCACTTGATGGTCACGCATCCTCTGTTTCCAGCAGGGACTCTGGATAGTGACCGAGATCAGATATTATGGCTACTACCTTTTCTCCCTTCTTCGCAGATGTCATAGGACAAAGGAAAAGACAGTGTAATTTACTATGAGCTCATGCCCTGCTGGGAAAAAGCAGATTTACACTGAGAATATGTTTTTAATATGAAAACACACAGGAGATATGTCAAATCAATGGAGATTTAGAAATTTCTCTCCTTGTTTTCCAAGATTATTTGAAGGAAAAAAACGCTGAGCAGGAACTGCTAGAAGCTGAAGAAAATATTGCTTCAGTGTAGCTGATCGAAAGGTTCTGGTTAATCATGGGAAATTAGACACACTGCACTCGTTCAGACCACACATCCGAAAGTTAGCTGTTAGTGACAGCACTGGACAAAACTATCAAACCCAAGCCCAGGCTTTTGGGAAAGGCCAAAGCCTTCAGACAAAATCTTTAAAGGGTAGATTAAAAGACATTTCAACAAGTGAGTCTCCAAGTATGCAGCTAAATTGCTATGGTGTGGAATTAACAATTCAGAGATTAAGAGTTCAAAAGAATGATGGGAAGTTACAAACATAAAATTACTGAGATAAACAGGCTATTCGGCCCAATTGGTCTATGCTGGTATTTATGCTTCCCATTAACCTATTCTCACCCTCTTCATATCACCCAATCAGCAGATCCTTCTGTTCCATTCTCCCTGATATGCTTATGTACCTTCCCCTCAAAGACATCTCTGCTCTCAACGTCAACCACTCCACATTGTGAACAAGAAATGTAATCATTTCCAGAATACAATGAAAATAAAAACATGAAAACATTCAGCTTGTACTAAAACCTTAATATTGCTCTTTGGAAAAGGTTAACCGTCACAATTGCCTGGTCTGGTCTGCATGTGACTCCAGTCCCAAACAACATGGTTGACTTAGAACTGCCCTCAGAGGTGACCAAACAAACAATGATAAACTATCCCTACAAAGTCTAATAATGAGAAATCTCACTCAGTGAACAGCAAAGGTCTTTTCCCTAGGATCAGGGAGTTCAAAACTTGGGGGGGCATATTTTTGAGATGAGATGAAAGATTTAAAAGGGACTTGAGGGGTAACTTTTTCACACAGAGGGTGGTTCATATATAGAATGAACTGCCAGAGGAAGTGTAGACGCAGGTATAGTTACAACATTTAAAAGATATTTGGATAGGTACATGAATAGGAAAGGTTTAGAGGGAAATGGGCCAAACGTAGGCAAGTGGGACTAGTTTAGTTTGGGAAACTTGGTTGACATGGACGAGTTGGACAGAAAAGACTGTTTCCATGCTGTATGACTCTATCACTCTACTGCCTTGCCAAACATATATGATAACATATCTGATAACATATTGGTTTGAAAATTCTCTTCTTTGTTTTCAAATTAACCCATGAATTCACTCCTCCCTACCTCTGTAATCTCCTCCAACCCTACAACCCTCCGAGATCTCTGCAATTCTCCAATTCTACCTCATGAGCATCTTCGATTTTAATTGCCCAACCACTGGTGACCATTCTTTCAGCTGCCAAGACCCCAACCTCTGGAATTCCCTCTCTAAACCTCTCCATTTCACCTTCCGACTTGAAGACCCTCCTCTTAAAAAAACCTCACTAGTAATGTCTGGATATTTCCACATTTGATTTGGTGTCAGTGTTTGGTTGAATCCTGGACAATTATAACAAGAACAATGGAGATTTATGAAGTTCTCCTGCCCTAACTGAACACCAGCCACTTCCTGATTTGTACACAATGACAAAAGACAGCAACAACTTGCATTTGTATAGCACTTTCAACATAGTCCAATGGCCAAAAGTGATTTGCTGGAGTGTCAACAATATTTGATCCTGAGGCACATGAGGTAATCTGAGTACAGATGACAAAAAACTTGGTTAAAGTGGTAGATTTTAAGGAGTGCCTTATTGAAGGACAGAGAGGGAGAAAAACAGATATTTAAGGATGGAATTCCAGAGTTTAGGACGCAGGCAGCTGAATGCTCAGCATCCAATAGTAGAAGGATTAAAATCATAAATCCTCTAAAATCAAATTTCTAGGACTGTGGAGAACTTACAGGGGTGCAGGTCCATGGTGACTGTCAATCTTTACTCTTTAGAGGGTCGTGGTTCGAGTCCCACTCCAGGTTTTGAGTACTGAGGCTGACACTCCAGTGTTCTAATTAAGGAGTGCTGCACTGTCAAAGATGAAGTCTTTCAGATAGGATCTTAAACCAAAGCCCCATCTGCACTCTCTAATATCATATAAAAGATCCCTGGCAGTATTTTGAAGAAGAACGGGAGAGTCATTCTTGGTGTCCTGGTGAATTCATCAATCAATACCATGAAGAAAATAGATTCACATTACTGCTTGAAGGAGCTTGCTGTCCAAACATTGCTGTAGGAAACGCAACATCCAGTGTCCGCATTTGAAAGGACGTTAACTGGCTGCAAAGCACTTTGGGAAACCAAAGGTCATTGAAGTTTCTAGATGAAAGCACGTTTTTGTTATCTAAGGTGATTGTAGAGATAGGATGGTGAGAGGCTTCAGAGAGATTTGAAAAGACATGCAAATTCCAGACCCCGACACACAGAGAAAACTAACCATTCACAGGATAATAATCAGCTCTCAGCACACACAGAGAACTCAACAACAGGAAATCAGTAAGAATCCTCAGACACTCTGCACCTCCCAGATAATTGCATCTCACCTTCTCATATTCAGGAATGAGCCATCAACAAAACTCAGCCTGGAAATCAGAAGGGAAATGCTTCCAATAAACACACTCAATATCCAACACACAGCTCCAGTCAAACAGTTCAGCACAAAGCACCGAGTAAACAGCTCTCTCAGCTGGATCTTCTCACACAGCATAAGGGACATTTCCACCCCTGATTGCCCACAGGATAGTCAGACTGCCTG